GCCAAAATCAGTTACATTTTCCCGGGGAGCCACGGTGGCTCAGTCATCGAGTATAGCGATGGCTAACTAACCGGGAGGGCCGGTGTTCAATTCCGGTGTTGACCGAGATCGTTCCGGATTTCAATCCTGGTTTCTCCTGGGGCCCTGACAAGAAACAATATCTAGTCATTCGGATGGGACGTAACATCCTTTATATTTGGCGTGCACGTAAAAGGACCCTTGACAGTAAAGTTGGTATTTGATGAAAGAAGACGAAAGCGCCACTGTCCGGGGAAACATTTCCCGCGTGGCGCATTAACCCCGTATTACGTTCAACCATTTTATTTCGCTCATTTTATGATCCCTTTATCCCACCCCTCGCACTGAACACATAACCATGCATATTAATATAAATACTGTGCAGGTCTTCCAATATGGTCTAAGTTAAGCGTTCTAATAATATTTTCTTTTATTAGACAAATAACTAACTACACTGATCAAAATCATTCAAGTAGTAATCTGAATGTTTGAACCAATTTGTTGACCTTCTGGTTTTTGTGGCAGATGGCTGTGAAATTTGTCTGAAACGTCTTCCCGCTATTACACCTGCCTGCTGAATAAGATATTTTATGACGTCAGATTATCTATCATTACTGGCGATTATTTACACCTGAAAACCTTAGTGTATGATTAGCTGGACTAGGGGGACGGATTGTTGATTTTCTAAAACCCGATTAAGTTAGCTTTCAATTGATTTATATATAGGGAGCCACGGTGGCTAATTAAGACGCGGACTCGCTAGCCTGTATACCGCGGGTTCGATCCGGTGTTGGCCGAGAAAGTTCACCGGGATTTTCCAGCGTGGTCTCCCCTTGTCAGTGGTATAGGACGGAGAGTCTTACAAGTACAGCTATCTGGTCGTTCGGTTGGTGCAAAGACCGAGGTCCCGGGTATACATTGGCAGTTGGAATTCGATGTAAGAGTAGGCAGTAGCGCCACTGTTCGGGCAAAATGTCCCTTATAGTACACTGTATGGCGCATGCCCGTCTTTATTAGCCCAGTCGGAGCAGGACAGTAGGGGGATTTCAAACACCTTTCATGATTTATAAGGGCTATATGCGTGGGCCAGTCTATTCTAACCATGCTGGTATAATCAATCAATTGCTGGGCAGTCTGTTATATATAGCATAGTTCATCGTTAAGCACTTTGCCGTGATTACTATAAGCAGAGTTGTATCCCCTCAATTCTAGGTCAAGTAATAAATGGAGCTAGCAGATTATACAATTGTCATCGCGTGATTTACACCCTAGCCAAATGGTTGTAGTCAGCTCGAAAACTGCACAATCATATGTAGTGATGTCTGAAAATGTACATGTAATTGAATGAAATTCAATTTCCAATTTTGATGGAATTAGAGATTCTTGTCATATAGATTGTCAGATTACATGTATGATAAAGCAAAACACATCCGAAGAAAAAATCTAGGATCAGCTTTTTTTTTTGTTAGTCATCTCGATTAAATAAATGACATTTGAACATTATTAGTTATTAAGTTAGCTGCATGTCACGTTCGTGGAGATTGTGGGATTACGAAGACTGCCATATCGATTTCATGATATAATAACTCGGGTGATTTAATATATCACTAGGATTACAGAGTAAATCAAATAAAATGAAAATAAATATATTTAACTCTTGCTTCATATGATAAGGACCGAGGCCCATGGGCAACGCTGGTCTAGGGTCACGACCACCACTTCCACTCCAACTTATTAAAATTAAGTTCTTAAATATGAAATTGGCCACATAGCTTTATGTGGTCCGCTGTGGACATTCCACGCCAATTGAGGCGTGGGTATACCGCACAGAATGGCAGACGATGGTCATTACCCAAACTGAAAAGCGAACTATAGGTAGAAGATCAGCTATAACAACCGGGCGAAAAAATATATAGAATGGTAAGTATTGTAAGTGACGATCAGAGTCCATCATGACCTTTAAAATGCGTGGTGATTCCATTCGGATTACCGAAATATTGTTATCTGATACACCTGTGCCACGCAGACCAATCTGTATAAGATCACAAGTTTTCGAAGTGATTTAAATACCATCATCGTATATGCCAAATCAAAACAAACCGGCGTGGTAATTTCCGGATATTACTCTCAGAACATAAGACACGTCAAACTAACTTGGTACACAAAAAGCTTAATAATATTTTTAAAGATGCATTATATTATATAATAGATAAAAAATAGATACTGAAAAATGAAAATATTGAAAAGGTCATACATTGTTCTGAGCAAAGTTATGAATGTTTGATGTTTTGTCAAGATGTAGCTATTATCGTTGCAACGGTATAGTCTCGTTTATCCGTTTTATCGTTAATTTTTTTTAATCTTGCCGGTGTTCAAATCCACCTAGAGAGTTGATTTGATTGTAAGCTTGACTGTGAATAATTGTCTAAATAATAGTTTATACAAAATTTGAAGCCAAACTAAAGACATAATGCATCTTTTTATATAATTCTTGAAATTTAAATTAAATTATGAATATTGATCATACTTTGGATTACTATAAAAACTATAAGCCTATACTGTGGCAATATTTTATTGTTATCCCATTGTTATATAATTCAAAATTATTGAGATGATATCAGTTATCTTTTTATGGTTTAGATTAGAATAGTGACTTAGGGAGGCCTGTCATCATCCTACCTGATACAATCAACTCAGAAGAGACAGATATATCTTTCATTTAGTAATCGTTTTCTTTTGGGCGACAATTGCGGCCATTAATACCATTTTTCGTTATTTCGTTCCAAAAACATTATTGTGGTTAAACATTATAGCGTTTTTGTCACAAAACCAGACTCACGCGCGCTCAATAGCCATATGGGAAAACCGTGTTGCGGTGCCGACAAAATTATACAGGAGTTACGTCCCTTCCATAGTGCTATAGGGCGAGCGTGGTCGTCGGATTTTGTCCAAAAAAAAATTCTAAATTTAAAACAAAATAACACATTTGCCAAGAGGAACGTGGAAACACAAACCATGGTAGTAATGGTGATAATCGGCGGTCAATTGAAGATATTCGGTGGGTTTCCGTTTGAAACCTCGTAGAACGAAAATAGTACGATAGTACTATATGAATCAGGAACTTGACATGACATCATTGCGGCAGTCTTTGAATTGTGACGTGAAATAAGCCCGTAAAACGATGCACCATTGTCCAATGGGCGCTTGGAGAAGCGGTTCCTGGTTAAAAAGTGCTCAAGATTTGTTAAATAATTAGACAATACAGTTTGTTTGGAATGTTCTGTATAATTTCCGTTGTGAACAAATGATTTGAGAACAGTTTCAAGTCAAAATAATCATTTATGCTGCTATATAACCGAAAAATGATATAGACGTATTTTAATACTAGAAAGATGACAAATTCTTCCGGTATTTGCGTTGTGAACACATGATTTGAGAACAGTTTCAAGTCCAAATAATCATTTATGCTGCAATATAAGCGAAAAATGATATAGATGTATTTTAATACCAGAAAGATGACAAATTCTTCGGGTATCTGTTTTATTAATATTAATGCTACAAGGGTATATAAGGGGTTGTTTTATAGATAATATATCTGCAAACTAAAGTCCATGCATATTGTTTGTGGGACATTTCAAACCACTTAACAATACTCACTAGATATTTGCGAAAAGAAGGGATACAGATACTTATGATTTCACTATAATGGATTGCATAATATATTCATAGATAAAATGTGATTGCAGCTTGGGTAAGGAATTATTGTCTTGCAATGCAGATCTTTTTCTGCTGGTAGTAGATGTGTCACCTTTTTGTTTCGATCTCACGTGTGTATCCTGGGGGTGGCGGTGGGGGGAGGGGGATTAAATGGTCCAACACGTGCGCATTAGATCATAAGGTCTGACATTGAGTCAAGGAGTAATGACGCCTGTCCAATGGTTTTTAAGGATTTTCTCGGAGCAGGTTTTGTAATCATTTGTTTACAAAAGTGTTTAAAGGTCCATTGCTCCGTTAATTTCCAATCAATCTGGCCCCAAAAGATACTACACATAATTTATAATTATGGCATAATTCTATGATTTTAAACAATCCAAGGGTTACTCGAGACTTTACGTTGGTAACTTCCTGCCACCCGTGTACATCCATATCGCTTTGAAAATGTAGAATGCATTAAAAAGAAACTGTTTGGTGAGTATATTTATGGTTCATACTAAGTAGTTTGTGAGATAAACAATTATTTCCATACGAATTATGATAATATTTGTTGCAACTCATTCGTTTGAGGCTATTTTTACTTGCGCAAATCTTAAATGAATGGACCGACGTGGTTGCCGCTACAATATTGCAGCTACATCGATTCCGACACTATCGAACATAGTCAAATATTGATCAATTAATATTGTTTATTTATATTAATTTTTCATCTACCCACAGCTTTTAAAATCCGCATCTGGCTTTAAGTAGTGATCAGATACCTAACCACGTCTTGTTTTACTTCTGTATACAATTTTTAATAAATAAAAATTTCCTTTTTGAGTACAAGCGAAATTTAGAATTGTAATTTATTTTGTTTTTGCAAATCAGACGTGAAGTATATAACCACCTTACATGATTTGTAACTTTTCATGTGCGGGATGAGAAATAAATATGCATCCAGTATTTGATATATAAAATATATTTAATTGCGGCTTTATAGCACACGCCGAATTGGGATTTGTTATCTACATGGCGGAGACATTAACGTTTAATTTAGTTTACACCAGGCCATAACGGAAAGGATGCCAATGTGACGCTGCCAACATTTTTAAATGACAGTAAAAGGTTGATGTTTCCGAGGAAATAGCTTATGTCCCACGTTAACACAAGACTCAAACATTTTTTTTTATTATCAGTTCAACAGAGTTTTATCAAAACATGAGTACATATAGGTTATGATTTAAAATCTTAAAAAGTACTATTACATTCTCTGGTTGTTACCCCGACGTCCCTTTCATAATACAATAATATCCATTGATTTATTAAGGGAGACTTGAATACATAAATATAACAATACACTGTAATTTTTCTTTTGAAGAAAATGAAATAATGATTAGATTACGAAAACCCTTTTAAGTAAATAATTTTTAATTCCGTGATAGACGACGCACTTCAAAAGTCGAACACAATTACAATGCTGGTCTTGATCTTTATATTACAGGTTGTGCTTCATCTATTATTAGTTTGTCAATTTCTATGACAGAATGGTATTTATCAGGGACAGTAATCCAGTTCCTGCCACAAACATGATAATCATGCCTTGCATGTTCCACAAATTTGCAGCAGCACCACGAGGTTCGGAAAATGGTATAGATTCGTGACTGTGGCCTGCCTCGCTGTGATCATGAGCATGGCTCATAACTGTAGCCAGTGCGACACAGAGTAGCACAATCCTAAAGACTGGAACAAAGGTGAGGTCCATTATTACTACAATAAATAAAATATTTTAATTATTTACCATACTTTGAACGACGGAGTGCCCAGATTCTTTTCTAATGTTTCCTTTATACAGCTTATGAATTTTTAAAACTGGACGTATTTTTATTTCTTAATTCTGTTTCTGCGGAATTTATTTCTTCACCAAGGAACTTTGGTGCCATTACCAATAACACAGATACCAGCAGAAAATGGTATACTTAAGTTAATGTATTGCCCACCGTCTTTTGAAGAAAGCGTAACTATTAAAATTGACCCACCTGTCACACTTTCTGACACAAAATAACTCTGCTTTTATAATTGAGCTAAAAGAAATGAAATGAAATGGGGTTTAACATCCTACTGTTCTGCTCCTACGCCATGCAGTATGCCTTGAGGAAAATTTTGCCTGGACAGCGGTGCTATGGCCTACTCTTATTTCGAATTCCAACTGTCAAAGGTCCTTTTACACGCACGCGAATGTATACACTAAACTTCGGTTGTTCGTCTCATCCGAACTACTATACACTGTCCCTTGTCAGGACCTCCGTCCTACATCACTGACAAGGGGGAACCACGCCGGAAAATTCTGATGAACACGGGACCTCCAGGTTAGTGAGCCAACGTCCCACTCACGGAGTCATGGTGGCTACCCGAGCTAAAAGAGTGTTCAAACTTGGTATAGGTGTTTATTAAGTAAATGTATTCACCAAGTTCGATTATGATCATATATATATATATAATTGTTTGATTGGAACATGGTCCTCCTGCACTTACTATTTGATTCTAATTGGGCGAGACTGGGGAAACTCGATGTATAGTTAGTTTCATTGCACCAAAACCTCGACTAATTCCAATCATGAACATTTTCGGCTTAGACTAAGTATAGATAAGCAGTTTGACTGCTCGATGCTTTACAGAAAGATAACAGTGTGCCATCTATTGATGTCGCTGTTGATGTGGGGGACATCAGCCTAACTCCGGGCTCTTTATTAATATTAAAGGTAGAATTGTTTAATTATCATAGTCATATTCTTTCACCATTCTGATAATTATCTGGTTGACATTGTATTGATTTCAAAATAGTTTAAGTCAAGATACACGAAAAAAATGTGTGGGTAATATAATTATCTTACCTTGATTAAGCAATGATTTCTACTAGTTTATAAACATACTGTTTGTTTGTGATTTATACCCAAATTATGTCTACATCCTGGCGGTATTCAATGACATTGATCAATAAGGCCATATATTTACTAATTAAGTAATCAATTAGAAATCGCATTTCTTTATGCACATCAAATAATTCATCGATGATAGAACTTATTAATGGGTTTTTATAAAAGTATGAAACAAAATTAATAACCGTGACGTTACGTTGTGAAATAATGACGTTAAAGAGAGTTCGGATCTATTTTGCACTATGTTACTAATGATCTCCTCTTCGTTCGAATAGATTGGTGTAAAAAGTATAAAAAATGTAGAATCCTGATAGACGGTGACAAAGATCATGTGTTCCCTGAGGCCAATATCGTGTAATATGCAGTAATATGCTATTATTTTAAAATATCAGTCAACACAAGCTGATCCTAAGGTACTATTTCTATATAATAGGAAACTGAAGAAACCATTGAAAATTGATAAGAATCATCATAAACATAAGTATTATGTTATAATGAGAAATAACCATCAAAATGGGCTTAAAAAATATTCAAATTACAAAATTATAAAGCTTTTCTAACAAAAATGTCTATCAGCCTCTTTCTTGGTCAGTAACAGAAAGGTCGGTGTACTAAACAGCAAAGAAAAACCCACATCAGTACAATTTCAAAATCAGAGAGGCACTTTAATTAAATCATTCTAAAACGACTAAAAACGATTAATGCATCACAATTCCAAGACATTACGAGAAGGTTAAAGTCTGTACAGTCTATACAACAGTATCTGGTATGTCCACCGCGAGTGTCAATAACAGCAGCGTAGCGTCTGTACATGGAGTGGACCAGACGATTGATGAACACCATTGGCACCTGGAACCACACTCTCAGAAAAGCCTGGCGCAATCCATCGGCTGTGTTTGGTCTAAGTACGCCGTTATTAAGTCTCTTAATTTCAACACTGAGATGTTCACTCGGGTTTAAGTCTGGACTAAGGGCTGGCCAGTGCATAACGTTGACACCGTTCTACTGTAGAAAGTCGCGAGTAACTCTGGCGGTGTGGGTACGGGCGTTGTCATGCTGGAAAACGTTGTTTCGATGACGTGCGAAATGTGGTATGCCTGTTTCTTCAGTTCTGGTGATGTTGGGCAAACTGTAGACGTCGATGGGGAGGGGTGGGGATCGGTACACGGTAAGGTCTACGGCAATGAATGTTCTCTCTGGTGAGACGTCGGCGCACTGTATCGGTACTGATGGGTGTTCCCACTGTCTTGCACAACATGGCGGTCTTGTCTCCTTGTGCTAACCCCTGGTGAGCGTTGCTGAAGCCTGTAGATGGTCCGAACATTGACCTGGAAGTGATTGGCAACGGCTTGGGCAGTGTGGCCAGCGTCGAGTCTTCTAAGCGCCTGGTTCCTCCGAGCTGTCGTGAGTCGTGGCATGCTGCTGACGTTGTAGTGTGAATGATTCAACGGTATGGGGGTGCATTTTATAGGGCTGGTCCCGGTGAACAGCACGTGCAGCATGAGTTACATGAAAATCATGGAGAACGCATTACCATCTCAGAAGTCAGGTTGCGTTTTTGAAAACATTTCCTGGGTTCAGTTCTGTGTTTGGGACGGAGCCTTATTGCTCAGGTAAAGATGGAGATGTGGTCACAAATATACAATAAAAACATTTGGCAAGTTTTATGCAATGCGTCTATTCAGAGTAACATACCGACCTTAGGTTTCCTTTGCTGCTTAGTATATATAATTGAGATCAAATGAAAATATCAAATTTATAAATGCATCCTTTAGGAGAAAAATAAAAACACACCCTTATTTCAAAATAATTTAAAATGTTTTTTTTACAGAAACGTGATGTACAGTGATATAAATCTGTTGTCAATAAATATGGTTATGTTTGTTCGTATTAATCTCTATTTGTGCAGACACCATAAACCCTTTCGTTAATCAACAAGTCAGTGATTTAATGTTCTTTTCAAATGAAGAAGGTTAAAAAAAAACTTAGAATGGACTTAGTTATAATAGTTATAAGAGATAACATAATCCCGAAGACTAAAATTAAATACCACCCGACCGAACCTGATATAATCAACCACCGAGAACATTTTATGATTAGAATACGTCGACATAAATCTTATAACGGCGTCTGATATATTATTATTTCATTGTAATTTGAAAATAAATCTTATCGACGACTTACAGGAATTATTCCTATTAAAAGTTGCCATAATAGAAGGAGTAAAGCGCCTCCAAAGCTTGACATCCGGCCTCAGGTTATGCTCATGAAAACAGTGGGCATTAAGATATAAGTTTGATAATTATAGTAACTGAATTATCGTGTTAATAGCATCGATAGATAATAGCAAAACGGGGTTTTGGCATCTTGGAGGGAGAGAGAGAGAAATGGGTTTAAAGTCCACTCGACACAAACTAGGTAATTTCGGGACTAACATATGGTTTAGTTTTATTTCAATAATTCGCTTGCGCATAGGGGTCTTTAGCAGTGGGAGGAAACCGGAGGACCAGGAGAAAACCCACGAGGTTGGACAGGCGACCCTACTCCTTGTCACGTACAACCGGGGATTCGAAACCACGCCAGTTAACTCAATGACAAGCTTTATGATACAGCGCGCACGTGCTAACCATTTGGCCATCCAACCCCCTTTGACATCTTGATGTCCAAATGATATAAATGGATTAAAGTTATATGCATTAAGTTTTCCAATATTTCAACACAAAAGCCGAATAGGAAATATTCGACGTACACGATCATTGGAAAATGAGGGCTATACTATATACCGGAAAAGACCGGAAAACTACCGGAAAACACCATGTTATACTGAATACCGGAAAAACACTAAATACCGGAAAACACACTAAATACCGGAAACCACCCTAAATAGGTAACCCGGAGAAGGACTATACTATAAACCGGAAACTAACCCTAACCCTGACCCAGGCACACAGAGGACCAGGCTCCCGGTTACCTATTTAGGGTGCCAATCTCCGGGATACCTAGTTAGGGTATTTCCCGGTATTTAGCGTGTTTTCCGGTATGTAGTGTTTTTCCGGTGTTTTCCAGTATTCAGTATAAAATGGTGTTTTCCGGTATATAGTATTGCCGGGAAAATGACAAAAACACTTCCAATTCAGTACTTGAAAATACATGTAAGTTATAATTTTGTAATCGATGCAATTTAATAAAACACAGAAGAGGGCGTTAGAGCGCCAGCTACATAAAACAAATTGTGGAATTTCCATCGAGAACTACATCTGTTCTCTGCTGTATTTGTGGAGAGTAGACATTTTGGCAAGTACACATTGATCATCAATGTTTCGGCTTCAGACATTTCCACCGTAACATTTTGCCACCTATTAAATTGCAATTAATCGTAGAGAAGTTGCCCAAGCATTCACCGAAATAACAACCCTATTCAAAACTATATATTGACCGAAACCAAAAGTAATAGCCCCAATAACGTAGTACATTGTGCTGGTGACTATATCTCTAGTACAGTATAGTTAGTCGACAGTAAACGAAAACAGCCATTCATTCTTCCAGATCATATTAAAATATTGAATAATGGAATCCCTGGCATTACCTTAGGAGTATTATAGATTAGAACTCGTAAATAGGCTAAAACGGACCTAAACACACAGACTATAAGAAATCACACCAAAATCATAGGCGTAATATTTTGTGGGCTCAAAATATGAATGGATGGAGTAAGCTTCGACCTGCACGTTGAGCAAAAGGCAGAACTATCGGTGCCGGGATGTGGTCACGGTAGTACACACCAGTGACCCTTCCTTGAACAATATGCGAGTCCCTTCTGCCAGTCATGGTGATTCCTCCCCACACCATAAAAGACCCACGCCCGAATCTGTCTGACGTTAGCGTTAGCATGACGCTCATTTACACGCCTCCAAACGCGAGCACGCCTATCGGTGAAATTCAGAGTAATTCTGGACTCATCTGAGAACATTACACGCGCCCATCGTAGATTACCCCAATTTCTACGCTGCCTACACCATTGACGCCTGTTTGCCATGTGCTGGCGAGTTAATGGAGGCACAACACGCGGTCGTCGCACATGCAAATGAACTGCATATAGCCGATATCTAATTGTTTGGGGAGTAACTCGAATTCCTGTAACTTAGTACAAGTTTACAGAAAGCTGATTGGCCGTTTGTCCTCGATTTCGCAGGACCTGTGTACGAATGTAGTGGCTCTAAGGACGACCTGAACGACGTCTATCATCAGCATTCTGTGTTTGTTGTTACCGGTTCAACAGTCTGCTGATCACAACAATCGCTGTGTAGAACCCATTTGAAGCATGCCAATAGCACGTAAGCGTTCATCATGTTGAAGACGTCTCATTGCAAATTAAACGTAACACACTAAAGCAAAGATACGCTAAACAGTAAATCTTATGCAAGAACCGATAGGAAAGCAAACATGGATAGGATAAACCAGCACGCGGCAGTTTTCATCAACCCTTCCTTGAAGTGTCAAATTTGACAATGAACCCCTCCCACGTGTATGACGCTATTGCGTGTCGCACGTGCAGCTCAGTGGTTCTGTTGGGGCGATAAGTTCTTCATCAGTGAACATACTTTCAAAGCATGGCAAGTGTCCATGACTATTTATCATTAAAAAAAATTGCATTTCAATATACCCTACTTTTTTTTGAAGAGTATAGATCCAAAGGGTTTTTTATTTCCGCAGTAAATAAAATGGACAGTGTCTGCTGCGTTTACTGTCTTTTTTACCACCAGACGATCACTAACACTACGACTTGACCCGTGTAAAAAACACCCCGTCAAATTTCGCCGCATTGTCCCAATGGTCGAAATATTAACTATTTCAGGTTGTAGCTTGCTTTATGCGATAATATTAAACAACGTTGATTTTATTTTACATTGTAGTAGACCAAAAGTCACCCCACCCCCCACAGCAACGACTGTGACCTTTATTAGATATG